TATGCAAGATATTGCGCCAAGATAAATGAAGGGCAAAGGGTACATAAAACCACAGCCGAGCACTCTCATGCTTGGCAGCAAGAAAAAGGAATCTTTAGATGCATCAGGAGCATTAGCTCCCTCTTGCCCCGCAGTGTGCTAACCTCGACTACAGCTGTACCATCTTTCACTCCAATGGACTTGCCTTATAGACAAATTGATTTGCAAAGGTTCAAACTGGCAGCTCTGTCTGCTTTGCATACAGAATGCTCCTCTGTGTCACAATAAAAGTAGCCTGGCAGACAGTGGGACACAGCGGGAACTGGCCGGTTCAAAGTCCAAACGACACCCTCCCCTCACCCCAGTCTGGTTTGAAAGGTCACCGCATGTCTTGGGAAAAAAAACAGTCTCAGGATCTGAGCCTTTATTAAAAGGTCAGTATTATTCAACAGCAGTTAACACACTGGTGCGCAAAAAGAGTGCATGCACACAAAAGACCCTGGGGCTGCTCAGCGGTTACAACTGGAAAGGCTGGGCATTTGTGAAAAAAACACGCCCTGCGCCAGTGTGCACACACACACTCAGTTACAATGGCAGGGATCAACAGAAGCTTAAAATGCCTTGGTATAACGTCGTCACACCTTTGCAATATTACAGCAGTTCAAAACGATAAGCAGCGGATTCCAGTCATTCCGAGCTCGCTTACAGTCACTTCCGGGTGCCCTTGATGCCCTCATTCTTGTTTGATACTCAAACGTTTTTCATCTGCCCTTTATTTCCACTATGCTCTCACACTCGATTGACAAGTTATTTAATACACTCCTGTTAACAATTGCCTTAAAAATATTTGCCTACCTTTATTGTAAAACGTACGGTTGTTTTGAAAGCAATATGAAACCTTGTTGTTACCTTTTGCTTTCAATCTTTTTTTTGCGAGAAACCGGCAGGGACAGTGGGTGTCATCAAAGTTATAACTAATAATAAAAGAAATCCACGATATAGTGGAAAATGGGGCGTGCGGCTGTTCAGCGGCTTAAAGGATTGATGAGTGGCCCTGCTTTGCAGTATGCATTCGATTGCACATTTAAAAAGCTATCAACTGAACAACAGTAGCTGCCAGCAAAACCTTCGGCAGTTGTGACTACGGTAACATGTAGTCATCATCCACTCAACTCACTGCCTCCGTACCAAAGACAACAGAGCAGCACAGGACTGCTTAGGCCATTATAGGGAGGCAAAGTATCCTTTTCTTCGGATCTGTTTACGGAAAGAACATTCTTGAAGTGGCACTATATATAAATTAGGTAGACTAGTTTACAGACGAACTGGGATGTTGTGCCTTTAGGAGATTGCTGGCTGCTGCAGCAGCTGCCTGACGAGACATACGACAAATTCACTTACTGAGTGACACTGGCTTTGTTGAAAAGGCAATTCAATCAAACGCCGCAACCAGCAAAGTAACAGGCTGCATTCCCTGAATAAAGAACATGAAATCATGCCTACATTTTCAAGTGCACTCAGACCTATCTGTCCTACTACATGAGGCTGAAAAGGATGAATGAATTAGATGCAGTAGATTGTAATTAATGGTAAGGCTGTCACTGCATCTCTTCACTGAGTTCTGAGCATTAGCAGCCTTCATGTACTTCACCCACTCACAGGGCAGTGCAGTGGTCTTTGCCAACAAAAGCTCAGCTTCTGGTTCGAACAGTGGGCATGAATGAAAATAAGTTGAATTTGACACAAATCTGATCAGCCCAGCAGCAACCTGCTGTTTAAGTCAAAACAATTAAAATTATACTTACCAATTTTCTTTCAAATTCTCTCCCCCTCCTGATTCCTCCACTCCTGAAAGCAGTGACTCTCATGGGCAGACAGATCCATAGACAGTCCTCTGACTCCTTGTTCAAGAGGGTGTTCTTCATGTGTGAATCTGGATGTTGCCTGTCAGTTTTCCTTGTGATCACTGGGAAAGGGGTTCTGCTAAAAGTCAGCCTGATCCTGTCATCGCCTACATTACACACAGGAGCTTGTTCAGTATTAGTACAATGTCTGTACATCCAGTGGGCATTAGAACCCTCGGCATCCATTGCCAAGGAACAACCAAAGTTCTCATTTACCCTACCCTATTATTGGTTAACTCAGCAAAAGGCACCACTCATCAGATTCAGGGGAAAAGGTCTTCCTTCGATTTATGCGACATAATAAAACTATTTTAACACGATATTGTAACGTGACAAAAACCAACACCACAGAGACTGCAGTGGTTCAAAAAGGTGCCTCATCGTATGCTTCTCACGACTAATTAGGGAAGGTCAACAAAAGCTGGCCTATCCAGCAATGCCCTCATCGGTGAAATAATTTTTAGATATACAATGTAATTTGTGAGTTTGAGATGGACTGAAATGCAGTCAGCTTCATCTAAATTCACCAGGTTCAGGTGAATTCAGAAACCTAACTTCCAATCTACATTTCTTATTCAAGAATCTTGGGATTTTTGATTATGTTATAGACAAGATGTTGTTGTTATACCTCAGATACTGGATTTAGAATTTGGGAACTGGTTTTTGACCAATTTATTCATAATATGTCAGCTACTTGATTCCCAATTAATAACACCATCATTTTGAAAAAATGTGCAGTTAATACTCTTCAAAACTGGAGTCCTTTACCATCTTGGTCCTTATCATGCAACTTACTTACTTCAGACATTTATTACTTATCTAAGCAAGCTGACAAAATAATGCCTTTAAAATGTAATCATTTGTCCCTTTCTTGTCCATTCACAACAACTTGCCTTCATTTCTCATTGCTTTTTGAAAAGACTGAAATAACTACCGGTTCTTCCAGATTCTCTGATAATGCTGCCAAGCCATTTAATGCTCAAGTGGCACTGTTCAAGAGAACTCTAAATTAATGTTCATTTTTGCCAAAGCCTTCTCCTTCACACTACACACTCAGCTCAGCTATACATGTACAGGCATAGCCAGTAAACCAGTTAATGGCGATGCCAACTTTGGCAAGGGGGCCTCTGAAATGTCCACATTCATCTCAACTGAGGATTCCCCAGCACTGTAGTTGACAGGGCCCTCAGCTGGGTCTGACCCATCTCCTGCATTTTGGCCCTCACCCTCTCTCTTCCCTCCCACACAGCAGTAGGGTCGCCCCCTGTCTTCACTTACCATCCCACCAGCATTCACATCCAGAGGATCATTAGCTGCCATCTCTACCACCTCCAGCAAGATGTCACCACTGGACATATACTTCCCTCCCCACCCTTGTCAGCCTTCTGCAAGGACCATTCCCTCCAGGACACCCTGGTCTACACCTCCTTCATTCCCAACACCTGCCCAGGGCCCCATTGCACCTGCAACCGCAGAAGATGTGACACCTGCCTACTTACTTCCTCCCTTCTCAGTATCCAAGGGTCCAAACACACCTTCCAGATGAAGCAGTGCTTTACCTGCACTTCACTCAATCTAGTCTACTGCATTCGCTGCTCACAGCGTGGTCTTCTCTACACTG